CTCTCAGGTGTGTTAGCTCAGGTGTGTTAGCTCAGGTGTATTCTCTCAGGTTTGTTAGCTCAGGTGTATCTCTCTCAGATGTATACTCTCAGGTGTAACTCTCTCAGGTGTATCTCTCTCAGGTGTGTTAGCTCAGGTGTGTTAGCTCAGGTGTATTCTCTCAGGTGTGTTAGCTCAGATGTATTCTCTCAGGTTTGTTAGCTCAGGTGTATTCTCTCAGGTGTGTTAGCTCAGGTGTGTTAGCTCAGGTGTGTTAGCTCAGGTTTGTTAGCTCAGGTGTATTCTCTCGTTTTATCCTCTCAGGTGTGTTAGCTCAGGTTTGTTAGCTCAGGTGTATTCGCTCAGGTGTGTTAGCTCAGGTTTGTTAGCTCAGGTGTGTTAGCTCAGGTGTATTCTCTCAGGTTTATCCTCTCAGGTGTGTTAGCTCAGGTGTATAGTCTCAGGTGTATCTCTCTCAGGTGTATCTCACCTCCAGGCTGTGGACCTGCTCCTTCAGCAGCCTCTTCTCCTCCTGCTCGGTGGTCAGGGCCATCTCCAGTTCTGGTCCAAAGCAGTGAGTTATTGGACAGAGAGCAGCCGACCAGCCTAGTGCTGCCTGCTTACCTACAATCCTCTCTATGCTCGTCTCTGACCGGCCTGAAGGGGGCGCCGCACACAGCAGGGGCAGACCGTTAGGACAGACACACACTACACAACCGGAGAGGTGTAACACCGTATTTGTTCTGAACATTAGGTTCCATAAGTAATGTTTCAGTTCCGTGGTAACATGTATGTTCTGATGGTATCATTGGGTTCATTGGTAACATTAATTGGTAACATTCACCGTCTATTGGTACTTTTCATTGGTAAGGTTCACTGTTAATGTTTACTGTTAATGTTCGCTGGTAACGTTCGCTGGTAAATGGACTGTACTCATATAGTGCCTTTCTATCCATCCAGGACACTCAAAGCGCTTCACACTAACAGACATTCACCCATGCACACACACATTCACACACTGATGATGGTAAGCTACATTGTAGCCACAGCTGCCCTGGGGCACACTGACAGAGGAGAGGCTGCCATACACAGGCACCACCGGACCCTCTGACCACCATCAGTAGGCAAGGCGGGTAAGGTGTCTTGCCCAAGGACACCACGACAGAGTCGACTAGACAAGAATCAAACTGGCGACCTTCCGGTTCCAGGTCGACTCCCCTAACCACTCTACCACAGCCTCCCCAAATGGTATCGTTCGCTGGTAACATTAGTTGTAACGATCATCTGTAATGTTCATTGGCAATGTTTGTGATTTGTTGGTAATGTTCATTGGTAATATTTCTCTTTGTTGGTAACGTGCTTCGTTGGCAATTTCTGTGTTCCATTGGTAACAGTCGTTGGTAACGTTCACTGGTACTGTTCATTGGCAACTTTCACTGGTAACGTTCATTGGCGATGTTCACTGGTAACGTTCATTGGCGATGTTCACTGGTAAAGTTCATTGGCAATGTTCACTGGTAACGTTCACTGGTACTGTTCATTGGCAATGTTCACTGGTAAC